GTGGTTTGGGATGTGACAGTATTCGCTATCCCTTGGATCTGAGACAGGGTCCTATTTTAACACCCTGTTACGTTTGCTGTCCAGAGTGCATTTAACAGCCCTAGATGATTACTTTTAGGAGCCTTACACAACCTAACTACCGATGGAAATTAAGATGGCTTCTTTATAAATTTTCTGATAGCACAATTCTGGATAACTTCATCAACATTCAGTCAATCCATCTTAATGAACCTTTCTCTCTTTTTCTGCACCCCCCGGCCCCGCCCCGTGTCTCTTCGAACACCTTGAGGCTCAGTGTTTAATCAGGAGCCTGTTGTGTGATCAAAGGCTGCCCTTCACCCCCTGGAGGGAATGCCATTCGTGAGTTGGGGATGCAGAGGCGGTTAGCTGTCGTTTCCGTGTCCCGGTGCCCGCAGCCCTTTGGTTCACCTGACCTGTGGTGCTGGCTTCTAACGTGGGCCTGGGCTCGCAGGTCAGGGGAGGGCTGGGCTCAGCCGAGGGACATGAGATCGTGGTGCATGAAGCATTGTCGATGGACCGAATGATGTCTCTCGCACATTTACTTACTCTCTTTAAAATTACGTTGCTGCTGTTGGAATTGTTAAAATACAAAATCCTTACAAATGTGTGTAACTCAGAAGTAATTTTAAAAAATAATCCATTTTCACATGCAACTATTATGTGAGTTCTGTGAGGTGCTTTTGTGTTATTAAGGTTCATTCGTGTTTGAAACGGTTTAAAAATATACACTAGAATCTTCTATATCCTGATACAGAGGCTTTTTTTTTACATGTAGGCGGTGATCTGAGCATCCGCCGATCACTATTACCCACATATCCTCTGTAGGGGTCAGTTTGCTCTTTCTGATTTAGAGGAATTCTGTCTTGAGAGAAAATGGGGACAGAAGAAAACCCTAGGGAGTGCCCTTATTCATATTTTTAGACATTTATGCAGCTCAGCGATTGATAAACGTGTGTCACGTGGATAAGTCTGAGGATTTATAGTAGCTTATCAGATATGCTTTTTCCTTCATCCTTTAAAAAAGGATGAGCATCATCCTTTAAAAAAAGGGGAGCATCATCAATCACAGATAATTATTACACTCCAGAGACAAGACTGCCTAGTTAAACACTGTCTACTTAGAGTTGTTGACGGCTTAGAAAAGACAACAGTTGCTACCAATCTGGCCCCAAAACATTGTGAATTCTTTCTAGGCCTGGCCAGGGAGCTTAGCATTGTCCTGACACACCAAGGTTGTGGGTTTGATCCCCAGTCAGGGCACATCCAAGAAGAAACCAATGAATGCATCAGTAAGTGGAACAACAACAACAAAAAAATCAATGTTTTTCCTCTCTGTCTCTAAAAAAACAAATTAGACTTTTTTTCTCAAAAAAGACTACCCGTGCGCGGTGCTGGTCGTTGAGTGTGAGCGGTGGGGGGCGTTGCTGCGGCTGTCATTACACGCGCGGGTGCTTGCTCAGGGGCCTCTGGCCCAGCTCCTTCTAGAAGCCTCAGGGCTGCCACCAACATGTCTGTCTACAGTGCAGTCTTGGATATTTTCAGTGGGGAGCCCTAGAAAATTAAGCATGTACCTGGGGTATTTTTACCGTAATAGAAATAGATGAGGCATTCCACAAATGCACATCCAGGTATATGTTGGATAGGATACATTGATACATGCTTGGAACTTGAAATTCTTGGTCTTAAATTTCTTTTGTCCTCTAAAATTGGTTGGGAGCATCATCAATCACTGTTAATTTAAAATAGCCACCAACAAACACAGGCCTTTGGTCCTTTTCTCAACATAATGAAGTTTAACAGGCGTCCCCACTTACCAGGAGAGGCCCTCAGCGGGAAGATTAAGGGAAATGCTGGCATCGTCGTACGTGGAGAGAAAGATGACAAAAGAGGCTGCAGGTTGGCGGGCTTCTGGGGTGCGAGGTTGGGAGTTCGGTGCCAGGGCCCCTGAGCTGGGACCTTGCCCAGGCAGCCTCTTCAGTTGTCATGTTTGATCCCTGTGTCCCATGGTCCCCAAATGTATGTTTTGTTGCTTTGTTGCTAATTTCTTTTTTAAAATAATTTTTGAGAAGCTGTGTCAGGAAAGGTTCATTTACCACTTCTCCAAACCACACCCGTGTCCTCACCAAACCCTCCGCTGGGCCACGTGTCCCCTTTTTGCTGGGTGTGTTTCTGAACCTCACAATGAACCTGACTGTGGGCCTCCCTCCCCCGCGACGCGCCGCCCCTAATTGGCGTCCTGCTCTCAGAGTCACCTGATCCGCACCCTCACTTTCACCTGCGCTCGCAAGCGCACCCTGACCTTCATTCTAATTTCACATCACACCTTCACTCTAAACGCAGCGCTAACGTTCCCACTGCGTGTGACCCTGACTTAACCATCATAACTCTTATGCTTATTTTTATCCTAAAACTGACCCATAAAAATTCTTCCAAGACAAATCCATATACAGAGTATTAATGTTTTTAATGACTTGGCATTTCACGGCACTGAAGGAGCAGTTAAAAAATTTCAGGATTGAACTGAAAGGCATAATTACAGTGGAGGAGCTTTTCACAACACCTGAGCCACTGTTTCTTTCTTTGTGGCAGTAGCAGGTGGAATATCATTAATGTCTAATATTTGGTTACAAGTTTCAGAATAAAGTATTGCTCTTTGATATTTCTACTCATCGTCACCTGCCTGCACTAAGGCGGTGCCTGAGGTCCTTTGGGTCCACCAGGTCCCGTGACACGTGCGTCTTTTTGTCGTTCACCAGGCTCCCAGGGCCTCCTTGCTTGAGTTAAGGCATGAAGCTCGCCTCTTTCTGGTTTTCATGCTGATGTTGCCTATTGGGGATTATGCCGGCAACTCTGGGTCACTTCTAAGGCTTCATCTGACCTGTCGCTTCCTCAGTGACTCAACTAAACTGGGACACTGAGTTACTACCATTTGCAGTTTTCCCCTGAAAAGCAAGTTCCCTTTTGTGTTTCTGTGTAAATGGGTCAGCCTCTCCGAGTTCTTCTGAGGCAGACAGCGGCGTCGGAGCCTGCTCCGGGCCTGGGCTCCGCCTGTCTTTTCAGTCTCTGGCGTCTTCAGGGTCATCCGTTCTGTGTCTGGGCCCTGAAATGCTAGCTCTTATCTAATGAAATGTTCACGAGGGAAATAAAATAATTAATTCCTTTATTACACTTACTGTGAGCATAAACATGATATTCTTTGTGCCTAGAGGCTATTTTCTTCAACATTGAACTTTATGCATGGGTTTTTTGTTTTTTTTTAAATCATGTCATCAAGTTTTTAAAGGATTTTTTTTCTGTTACCTTTTATCATACCCATACACTATTTACATTGAGATTAAAATAATATATTTATCCTCTTAGTTTCAATGTACCTTGCTTTCTTGCCCTTGAATGACATCTTTTGAGAATCTCGCAATGTTAGAACTTTGTTCATACCTAGCACTTAGGCTAATAGGTAGTTCATATAAAAAGTAATGCCACAAATAACCTTTCATGTTCTTGATTATCTTTTGGAAATAATGTGTGTCTTTTACATCTGCTATTTTATCTCCTTGCATAGAAGGAGATCTGAGTCTTTGCTAATTTCTCTAAGTCATTGTTTTACTGTCACCTATGCTGTGCTCTGCCTACAGTCGCATACGCCTTAGACTTTCCCATTCTCAGCAAGTCCACATCCTTTTTTCTACTTAGTATAATTCTCAAGTAATTCAGCCTGGATAACAGGCAAAGTCAGACTGAGAACATTTCTGAAAAAAAAAAAATCTCCAAAACCTGGATCAGTTTAATCTCAAGAAGAAAACATCTGCTATAAACCATGCTGTGTAGCAAAATTTTGGAGTTCTGATTTTCTTTGCATTAAGGGCTAAAATGATTTTTCCTGATTCTTCATTTAGAAATATTTACATCACTAGCGATCATGTATGGGCATGTGGTTGCTCAGTTTCAACTTGGACAGTAACTCCCTGACATCGTTTACCACTGATATCAGTTATAGGTGTGTAACTAAGCAGCCTGTATTTTCTAAGCTTAAGATGAAATGGTTATTTACAATTTTTTCTTAAAATTAGAATATAAAAAATGAAAAAATCAGTCACAGTAGAATTGCCACTGAGTCACATACACACCACTGTGTGTTTAGGTTCCAGGGAACCAGCTATGGCATTTACCCATGTCTAGGGCAGGACACTTGCTGTTTTCTGTAAAACTGGTGTGGGCACGTGTGTCTTCCATCTTTTCTCTCTAGGACTTAGATGCTTGTGACAACTAAACTTAGTCCTAAGTTTGGGAAAGTGATGTGTTTTCTTCTTAGCCCTTTGTCGTCTGTGTAGGTCTCTTGGGATAGGTCAAAGAAACTTTACAGACCTAAAGAAAAATGAAGGAATATACATGCACATGTTATATTTTGTAGAAGAAGAAAGAGCTATTATAAATCATGAGAACAAGCTGTGTTATTTCAAGAGAAAAGTTTCTGTGATATTTTTTGAACACATGTCCCGCACCTGTAGTGTCTAGGGGAACTGCTCAAGGTTCCTTTCATCACGGCACGTTAGTTATGATCTGCCTTGCTTTTAATCCACCGCTTTTACTAAAGTAAGTCGTGTTGCTGTTTTTATTACTCCATTTTTATGCAAAAGATTAAATGAAAAGTTTAAAAAATTTTAAGAGTATAATTTTAAGATTTTATCTTTGGGTTTTTTTGTGTGTTTAGATATGCTGTAAATTGAATCACGCATTAAAGTAGAGCAGCATGTTCTCACAGAAAAAGGAAGAACTCATGTAAAACGTAATATGTGTTTGCTCCAGCTTTTACTAGCCTGTAGTTGATATTGTTTTGTTGTGACAACACAGTGAACGTGTTTTTGTATGTTTATTGTTCACATACCTCCATTTAGAAATCTTTATAAGTAAGAGATATTTTAAAATAAGTCTTTGAAATACACTGTATTTAATATTTTCTCTCTTTTTCTATGTCCCTACAGAAATTCATGATGAAGGTAAGACATTGGATCATCAGCTCTCTATATGTTATGCTTTGTACATTTTAAGTTTGGTTTAATTTTTGAATTCATGGCACTTCACATTTTAAAGTTTTAGAAATTAAAGCAAACTTCGGAACTTTTAGATTTAAATGAATCAACCGCACTTTTAGATTTGTCAACTTAAACAGCATTTGACATCTTTGTGTCATATTGTAACATATTAAGTGTATTTTTAATTTTATTTAATTTATTGGGGTGACATTAATAAAATTATATAGGCTTCAGGTATACAATTCTGTAATACATGCTTGGTGTCCTGTAAGTTCACCCCCCCCCCAGGGCAAGTCTCCTTCCGTCACCATTAACCCCCCTTTGCCCCCCCCCCCCTCCCCCAACCCCCCTTCCCTCTGGTCATCACCACACTGTCGTCTGTGTCTGTAGCCAACGTTAAGAATTTTCTCATGAAAACACTTTTCTTCATATCTCTCCATTTAGCATTTTTACCATGGGGATTATATTGACTTGTGTTGAAGCATCTTTGCGTGAATACAGTAGAATGTTTGTACCCTGGGAAATTAGAAGAGGAACCAAGAAGCTACTAGAGAATTACTTACTCCAGCAGAAGTGAAAATACTGTAACCCCTTTTTAATTTTCAACCACTTAGAAAAGTAGAAAGGAGACAGGAGAAAAGAGTAAAACATGTGATCATGTCATTGAAGGAAATACAGTGGAAGAGGAGGAGCAGGATGTCATTATTTGGGACAAAAAAAAGAAAGTTTTTGTTTCAGTTTTACGTACCTACTACTTTTCTCATAGAACATTCACAACATTTAATTTTTGATCCTAAAATTCAAGAAACAATGTATAGAGAAATGTATTCAGTTAATAAAGTCTTGATGTAATTTTTAAAATTTCGAAAGACACCAACACTGAAGAGTATTAAATAAAAATTCTGGTGTAGAGTTAAGAGGTTGCTTGGAAGAGAAGGAAGCCGGTAGCTTCCGTGGGCGTGGGCTGCCGGGCGGGGTCTGTCACTCCCCCGTTGGAGTCCCGAGGGCGCAGGCAGCTGGGCGTCTGCTCTGACAGTGATGGGCAGGCGGTTTGGACAGGGTGGCAGGGCCATGGTTTGCAGCATCTCTCAACAAGGACACAAAACATTTTCCCAATTTCAAATGACTCCAGCTATTATTCTTCAGCAGAAAATATTATTGTTATATTGGGAGGAACAGACAATAACGCTTAGACATACTGTGAAACAAGGATTTCAGTTGGGAAACTGTTACCAACAGCAGCAACACATGAATACGTCCTCTTCTTGCACGTACTGATAAATAACTAATGGAATTGAGTTTGAAAAAATTCAGTCTTTGTGCTAAGTCTGCATTTACTGTCCTCGCTCAGGGGTCTTGCCCTGTCCCCATCCCTCACCCCGGGGAGGAGGGTGGACCAGCAGTTGCCGGAAACACATTTTCAGGCTCTTTCAAGAGCCGGAAAGATTTTAGGCTCTTTCAAGATAGCAGATTCACACAGAGATCAATGCGGAGGAGACAGAGAGACGAGACAGACTTCATTCAAACCAGCCGTATTCCTGGCACAATGTAATTAGGCTCTGGTTCCTTTTACTGCAAGGCCAGAGCTAATGGTGGATATTCACACCTGCGTGGAGCCTCTGGAAAGGTTCGAGTGTGACTAAGTGGAGGGTCTATGCACTCAATTATAAGAATTTAAACCACTTAAAAGGAAAAGGATGCTAAATTTTCTTTAGCGTTCTCCTTTCCGTCATGATTTGCTTTGGCTTTCGTACCTGGACAGGCGGTGTTTGGCCTGCTAGGACTGGACAGACGCGCCCTTGTGGCGCGAGCCCGGGCCCGCTGCTGTCAGTCCTGCCCAGGCCCGGCCGGCACCCGCAGGAGACCTGCTTAGGATGCGCGGCCGCGGAAGCGCTGCCGGCCCCGGGGCTGTCCAGCTGGCTCGTCGCACACCGTTACTTTGCCCTGAAGGCCGGTTTCTCATTAATTATTAGACTCATCCTGGGAATCTGCTGTGATTCGCTGGTAAAGGTGGCCGGGCATTTGGAGTGTCCCCACTGTCAGGGACCCAGGGGGCCCGAATGCCAGGCCCAGGAGTCCGGTGCCGCTCCTGACGGGCCGCGCTACTCGCGTCTGCATGGGAACGTCTCTCCCGGGGGCAGGCAGACTTACACAGGGAGATACTTTTCTGTTTTCTCCCTGAACCAACATTACCCAAGTGTGACTCAGCACGGATATTTGAAGGTAAACTTCAGATCGGAGCGCCACGAGAGCAGTGCTCGGAGACAACCCCCTCCGTGCTGTCTGTTGTTTTCAGTTTTGGCGACGCAGTTCAGTTTTACCGGGCGTAGTGAGCTCCTCGGAAGACTTCATCCTTACACCTTTCAGACGGCATGCTATGTGCTAGCAGTCGGAGGACACAGAGAAGTTTGCCTGTAGAGTCTAATTGATTTTTAAAAAAATCTCTCTAATAATAAGGGCCTGGAATTATGAGAAATATCTTACATTGATTAACACAGCATTTTTGTACAGAAAAAATGGATTAGAAAAACAGAAAACCTTAAAATATGTGGATGTTATAGCTAGAAAGTTAATGTGATACTAGAGATGTCAATATGCAAATATATAGTACAAACATGTATTTAAAAAGCACAGAGCCAAAAAATCTTCAAGACAACAGAAATACAGAACCATAATTGTCATGTGTTTATAAACCTCTTCTGTTGATTTTAGTCAGTACTATTCTGGCTTTATTTGTTATTATTCTTTGGCTACTACATTTTAAGCTTATGAGAGTAAAGTCTAAATGGAGCTGCAGTGGTCGACTTACCTCCCTCCCGATAGAGAAGGATGACGTGAGTAAATTATGCCCTGTGACTGCGCATGATTCCGGATCAACGCAAACGTAGAAGCGTTTACATCACAACCGCTGCTCTCACAATATGGGTCCACTGTCTGGGCTGTTCTGGCTGCATCCTGGACAGCTAGCGGCGGAGGGATGCCTGATAACACTGAACTGGAATTGAAGTGGTTTGTGGAACACTTGAGGCGAAGTTGGTTAGAATACAGGTGACATGTTGCTTAGGTTTTGTTTGACTGTATTCTGGACTTTTACATCCACTTACAGTTCATGGGTTTGTTTTTTTTTTTTTTTTAGACTATTGCATGACACTAACCCTCTCAGTCATCTTGCAAGTGGGACCAAACCCACCTACAGATCTCAAAACAATTTCTAACTGCTATTTTCAAAAAGTCAAATTTTACCTTTTATTAAATGATGCTTGACTCTGCAATACCAGAAATATTTAGAGGGAGGAGTTTGAAAACGGTAGATGATGTCATTTCCCCCCAAGAGAGCAATGACCCCTTAACGTAGACCCCCAGTGTAGATGTCCACCCTGTACGGGACCACAGCAGTCCAGCGAGGCCGACATCGGGGTCCTGGCTCTGCGGCCGGGCCTGCAGGACTGGCGGCAGCCCCCTGAGGACACCACAGGCTCAGCCGGTTGCTGGAGGGCGGCTGGGGCTGGGGGACTGACGTTGCCTTCTCAGGGGCAGGTAGGACCAAGTCACATGTCTAAACGTAATGGTGTGTAAATGGGTAATACTTCTACTAAGAGGGCCTGATAACCTATTACAGGGTTGGAGGCATTAGAAGTAGATAAAGAAATAGTGCTCAAACTTTCATTTTCTTTGCTGATAGTGCACAAATAGTTTGAATGAAATTACATGGGATCCAGCATGTAATTGTTGAATGAATGAATGAGGCAAAGAGACAGACGGAGAGCTTATCATCCACGAGACTCTCAGCCTCAGGTCCCATCCTCTCATGCAGGAGATGCAGCCATCTTTTCTGAATGAATAGGAAAGAGCATTTCTTTTGTAATATTTACTGCGGAGTTAGAGGGACTTAGGTCCCGATGGCATTACTGTTAACTGAAGGCTTACTTGTGTTGTTTAAAACAATTTCCTAATTCTCCTTTTTATTGGTGCAATTGAAAGCACTGCTTACTTTGCTCATGTTTTAGATTCCAAGGAACAGTGACCATGTTCACTTCCAAAACCACCAAGACTTTTTTCCCCAAGTGTGACCTGGAAGATAGGCTGGCCTTAGGCTTGCTGCCCCATTGGCCTGACCAACTCTTACCTAGTCAGTCCCAGCTGGTGTCCCAAAGGCCAGTGCGGTCCCGCCACCGCGTGCTTACAGGGTTGGGCACGGGCGGCTCCAGGGAAGAAGGGCCCTGTTCCAGAGGATAGAATCGCCCTGCCTTGGCTGCGGCTGCCACCCAGCAGCGGGGGGTGTCTCCTCGCTGAGGGCGCGTGGGGGGGCGGCCCTGGCCCACCTGAGACAGGGTGCCATGGACCTTGAAGGAGTCACGCCAGAAGTGGCAACCGTCCTCATAAAGTGCTAGCAGTTCCGTGCATCAGAGGAAGCCCATCATCACAGAGTGCGGCAAGAGTAGGTTTACAGTTTTCTTATGGAAAGTAATATAATAATTAATAAATATACTACAAGAATCAACTGGGAGTTTCATACTTTTGCCCCACCCTGTATTTCTTCACTTAAGTTACAGTGAGGACTGGTCACATGTAACAAGAAAATTGACACAGTATGAAATCAAAAAACACAGGAAAGGACCCCCTTTGGATTCAACCCCCCACACAATTCTTTTGATAAATGTTTATTGAACGAATTGTGTTAACCCAGCCAGCTCAAGAGCAGAAATTCCACATTTTATTTTTTGGGAAACAGAGTTAATTAGATTAATATTTAAATGACAAGTTAGAAGAGTGCCGTAGCCCATCTGACAGAGATTGCATCGCTTTGTGGCAACAGTGACACAATTAGTAGCAATTTAGTGTGGAATAGTTTTACGAGTTCTATTAAAACTAAATCTGGCATAATTAGCATTTAAGTGGTAAGGAAATCTCTAGTTGAAATCTATAATTGTCTAATTGTGTAAAATCTATAGTTGGAAGAAAATTTATACACTAAAATATCTCCTCTTACTTTAACCCGTTTTAATGTTTATACATATGTTCATATAAACATGAAGCGCGTGGGCAAAACTCTGGAGTGAAAGGAGCGCTTAATTTTTTTGGTTAAATCTTCATTTTAAAAACCTTGTTTTGACTGCTCTGACTGTCAAATGGTAGGAAAGTTCAGCTGGGTTTCATAGTTTTGGAGCTTTTTTCTCATAGGAAAAGTTAAGCTCCTCTCAAAGTATGTAAATCAGAGAAGGGAAAGAACATTGTTCTTGGCCGCGATGACGCAGGTGTATCACAGGAAATGAAGGCACCCCTAAGAGGGCCCCACTAGAGGAGGGGTGTGATTTCAGAAAGCAGAGTTACCCCCTTTTCTCTCAGTACATGAAAAAGTGATTTTCCTTTTGTTCTAAAAGATGGTTTTCTTATCATTTTAACAACTTTTACTATCTCTTTTAAGAACGATTCTGAGGTCTTTCAAGCATAACATGGAAACAAAGTTATTTTAAGAAATTATTGGGAACAGTTGGGAGGGGTACATTTTTAGTAGGAACAGGCATGCTGGTGCTGATCGTGCACTTCCTAAGGCCCGCGAAGGAGCCAGCCTCTCCGGTCTCTTCCTGGAGACCCTAGAGGCCCCCTCCCCCTTGGGAAGGAAGCGCAGGCTCCCCGGGCTCCTTTCTGCGCCTCCTGCGCTCCTACCTGTTCCCAGTTTATGGATCGTGTTCGGGTTCTGCGACCCGCCCTGCCGTCCAGGTCCCTTCCTCTCTCCGAACACCTGGACCTGGCAGCCACGACGCCGTGGCGCAGAGGCCTCCCCGGCCTGGGCGGCGGGCACCTCAGTGTCTCAGGCGCCCAAGGCCTGTGGAGCTTTGAGCGGCGAGCCCGGGCGCCTGTGCCGGAGCTCACAGTCTGGCCCGGAACGGAAAGGTGCTTATGGTGCCAAGCGATCGGGCCGGCGCCGTGGGCGCCGAGGGCGGTCGGAGGCGGCTTTCTGCAGGAGGTAGCCTGGAACCTGCGTTTTAAAGCGCAGGTGGTAACGTAGAAAAGACCACCGGGCGCGACCTCGCGCCCTGAGACAGCGGCAGGAAGGCCCCTGGCGCGTCAGGGCCGAGAGGGTGGGTGCGGTCAGTGCCCCGCGCGGGAGGGTCTGAGGGTCGAGACTTCCTGCTCTCCACACGGCGACGGCGACCCCCCCCCGGTGCGGACCACCGTGCAGGGCGGGGTGCAGGCAGCCCAGGGCCGGACTCGGTGAGCCCCTGGCACGCCGAGTGTGTGCTGGAATCGGCTCCTCCTTCCAGAGCGAGGCCGCCCGCGCGCAGCTTGACTGGGTCGCTTCAGGGATCTTCACACAGCGCTTCGCTGTCTCTGATCGCTCGGAACGCCTCCTTGGGACTTTTTGTCGACTTAGTTAAGTTTGCTGCTTTGGCTTTTCTTTTCCTGATGACCCTTTCTCCTTCCTCCCCAGACGGCTCAAGGCGGCGGTCACCGGACGCTCCTGTACGGCCACGCCATTCTGCTGCGGCACTCCTACAGCGGCATGGTGAGCGCGCGCGCGCGCGGGCTGGCGGGGGCGCGCGCGGGCTGGCGGGGGCGCGCGCTGGGCGGTGGGCGGGGCGCGGCGGCGGGGGCGCGCGCGCGGCACGGTGAGCGCGCGCGGGCGCGCGCGCGGCCGGCCGGCCGGCCAGGTGCCGCGCCCGCGGAGCTTCTGGCGAGGAGGTGCGAGTTAGCTGAGCCCGTCACTGCGTGGCCCCCGCTGTTAGTGTCTCGCTTTTGATAGTTTTCGGAGAAGGGTGAAGAGTGAAATAAGAAGGTCTCATTTTTCACATTGTTTTAAACAACTTGTTTATGAAAGAATTAAAGTATTTTTACTGAAAGATAATATTAAAAATCGGCCCCTGAGAGCCGCTGTCAATTTCCCACGAACTTCCTGTCCCTCCCGACCTGCTGTTCTCCGCCCTGCCCTCCCCGCCTTTCCCCGGGCCGCCCGGGGCTGGTGGGGGGGGCCGGCACCTCTCAGGCTCCGCTGCACTCTCCTAGTATTGCATGTACGTGTATTACAAAGCACGTGACCCATGTAACAGCTTCATTCCATTTTAAAACCTTTTTAAAATTATACAAACAATACATATTTATTCTATAAGATTTGGAAATTACAGAGGAAATGATTTTTCATGATCACACTAATAAGACAGTTGAAGACTTTTCAAAATTTTCAATCTTTCTGTCCCTAATTTTTTTAACATAACTGAGATCTTACTGCATAACCAAATTTATATCCTGATTTTTTTTTACATATATTATCTCAGCCCAAGTATTACCCATGTTATTTAAATTCTCTCTCAACCTGATTTTAGTGACTACATGATAGTCCAGTATCTGGAAGTATAATATAATTGATTCTTTTAAATAGAAGGTAATTCTCAAAATATCTAAACTATTTCAGAGCAGAAGACTAAGCATAGCCTCAATTCCAATAATCAGAAAAACAAACAAACCAAACCCCCCCCCCCCCAGAACCTGTCCATCTCCACATGAATATTGATGTGACATACCTGGTTAATAAAATACAAAAGTACAGGAAAAGTATAAATATGAATTTAATGAGGACTTAGAATTTTTTTTTTTTTTAGTGTGCAACATCACATAAATAGCTCAAGTAAGGAAAAATATGATCATCTTAACAGGTGCTGAAAAGGTTTTAATAAAATTCACATCCATTTCTAATGAAAAATAGCACTGATCATTATTTCCTCAATGATAAAGGAAATATCACTGCTAGATTAATAGCCAGTATCATACTAAACACTGAAGCCATTCTTGGGAAAATAAAAACAAATGAAGAAGAACAAGAATAGGATATCTCACGTAGTGTGGAAATCTTGGCACATAGCAAGGCATGAAATAAAATAAAGGAAAACGCTTTAATAAAATGGCTGGATACAAGAGAAGCAGATAGAAGCAAATTGCTTGTGGCCCTGGCTGGGTAGCTCAGTTGGTTGGAGCACTGTCCCAATCCACCGCGGCTGCGGGTTTGATCCCCGGTCAGGGCATGCACAATATGCAACCAAGGAGCGCATCAGTAAGTGAAACAATAAAGACGCTATTTTCTCCTCTCTTCCGCCCTGCTGCGCGCTCTCTCTCACTTTCTCTCAAACAAAAAGAAAATAACAAAAACCCTGCTTGTACATAGCAATTACACATTAGAACCTTGTGGAAAGAATTCCATCTGAATCGAAACACCAACGGCATGAAATACTGAGTGTGAGGGTCTGTTTCAGAAAGTGCTCTGTGTTCACTTTCTGAGCAGACGCGAACTGCCTGGGCTCAGGCTCACTCCCCACAGGCTGTCCAGCCCTGGGTGCCCGCTGACCCCTCCTCAGGCCTCTAATTGTAACTGAAGACTCCATCCATTCACTGAGGAAGCGCCACTTAGCACCTGCTGTGTGCTGGGCGCTGTCCTAGGTGCTGGGTGTAGCAGGGACTAGACCCGAGCCCCTGCCCTCATGGAGCAAAACCAACAGGTAGTGGAGTAATTACAGTGTCTGTCTCCCTGGGGCTGTGGGCAGTAGAGGCGGAGGGAACGTGCGTTAATAGTGACAGTGCCCAGGGCTGTCATGTGACCGAGAAATGTTACAGAAGCCTTTCACAGGGATCCCTTTGTGTTTCTGCCTGGGAAGCCACTATTGTAAAATCGTTACTTTGTCTCACATAAATTTAGACATTCAGTAGTTTAGCTCAAAGCCCATAGTCAGACTCCCGCTCCTCTGCTGGCTGAGGGTGTGTGGGGCCCGGGCTGTCTCTTCTAGACCCTGGGAGCCAGTGCTTCACAGCCGGGGGACAGGATCAGGCCAGCTTCCCTTTAGCCTGGGGCACCCACCCCCGCCATGTCTCACTCGCAGACCCCCTCCCACCCCACCCCCATCCCCACCCCATCGCCACCCCCGAGCAGCGGCCCTCTTGCGCAGGAGGAACTGCCCGGTGAGCCTGGGAGTGCGCGCAGCTCCGTTCAGCTTGTGGGCCCCTCCCTGCTGGCGCACGCGTGGGGCGCAGACAGTGGTGTGTCCTCGGCTCCTGCACACTCATCACTGCCCCCTCATTACTGTCACACTTGACAAGACCTGTGAGGCCAGGGCAGGGGTAGAGGAGGTGGCCTGGAAACTCACCTGAGCTGGATGTTCAGGAATACAGTTAGGAACACCTTCAGGGAGTTGATGATGTTGCACAGATGACTTCTGGGATTGAAGGTACCGGAAAGGCCATGGCCACGGTGAAGCTCCCCAGGGAGGCAGCGCCCGTCTGCGCCCGCGCCCGCGCCGTGCGAGTGTCAGGCGTTTCTGCTTCACAGGTGGGAGCGCGGCTGGGAGACAGAGCGAACAGGCCCCCAGTTCCTGGCAGGCCAGTCCTGCGTCTGCTTGCGTCCCTGGAGCGAGGGCCTGCAGGTGCCCGCACCTCCTGCGCGTTCTCTCTCCCCACGGCTCCCGGGAGTGCGCGTGCTCCCTGCCCCACGAAAATCTGCTTCGCGCAGATGCGGTGGGGGGCCGACGTGCAGAGACAGGCTGGTACAGAGTCTGTCAGAAGTACCCAGGTGGGACCGTGAGTGTGTAGTGATGCCCCGATTCTGTGTCCTTCAGTACCTGTGCTGCCTGTCCACCTCCCGGTCTTCCAGGGACAAACTGGCCTTTGACGTCGGCCTGCAGGAGGACACGACAGGTGAGCCACGCCCGCGATCAAGCCGGGTGGGAAGTCAGGCGACACGGTGGCTGTCCTTGCGGATGGAGTCAGAGCAACGCTGATTGTCTGGGGGAGGCTTGGCGCAGGGAGGACATGTGTGCTGTTCCCCTCGCTCAGCTGTTTCCACAGGATTCTCTGGGTGTTCAAACCAAACTTCAAACCTGGGTCTTCTGATGGACTTGATAGAAAAAGCAGCACTTACTACCTGCCTCACGGGCTGTCGGCTGTACTGATGCGCACTTGTTAGTGTACGAAGTATTGCTGCGTAGCTTTATCTATCGACTTCCATCTTAAAATATTTTTAAGTCTGAGAATATGACATACCGTCAGCATTCAAACACAAGGCTGTTTGCGCTATATCCAAACAGATGTGACAAAATTTACATACTTTTGAAAACAATGTATATATTAACACTTTTTTTTCCTTAGAGAATCAAGATAGGAAAAGATAAGCTTTGTTTCTGTTCTCAGTGCTCTGACTTTACACTTTATACAGCTCTGTACAATCTTTTACAATGTTTTATCTTTTACAATGAGCATGAATGACTCTTAGAATTATAAATAAATAAAAGTCCAAGGAGAACAACGAATGGAAGGAAATTGCCCAACTCTTATTAAGTTGTCCGTTATGTGGGCAGGACCCAGCCATCCCTCACACCCACTCTTCTTTTTAAAACACTTTCCCCTTGTCCAAATTCTTCAGACTACAGGTGGATAAAAATGAAGCTGTGTTTGCCAACTTAATTTTTTAGTAGACCAACGCATTGCCTTTTACACGAAATTCCAAGATTCCCAGGCACCAAAAAGAGAAATGTAGTATTATTTCTATTCCTTTTTTTGTAGGCTCAGTCATTTCTCTATATTTTTGCTAGCTTTTTGAAGTCTTCTCACTGTAGTTAATTTACTGTGGAACACAGTTACATGAAAAAGAAACCTTTGGGTCTCTCTTTCAAAAGTTGTCCCACACGTTGAGGTGACTACAAAGTATCAAAACAACGGGGCAGCCCAGCGCCTCTCCTGCATCAAGTCCCCTTGGGCCACCTTTCCCCGAGCCCTCTGCTGCTTCTGGGCTGCGGGGTTGTTTATTGGACCTACGTTTGCTGCTTGCCGGGCCGGGACCCGACTCGCAGGCAGGCGATAGTTTCCTCCTTGTTTGCTGGTGTCTCCCTGCTCCGAAGGCAGTGATGGATGGGCAAGGGGTGCTGTGTAACTGTTTGAGTGAACAAATGAAAAACTCCCTACACTCTAAAAATGCGAGTGAGTGAGGATAAGGAATCTGCAAGGTGATATCCAAGTAAGACTGGGGTTTGTGTAAGAAGAGCAACTGAGACCACAGTTTGCACATTACCTCTGAGCATGCCAAGAAATAGTGTTTGCTGATTCACTTACTCATTTATGCAAAATGAATTTATACCGAGGGCCAGAGCATTAAAAACAAAAATGGTAGTATCTGGGGTTTGAAGACCCGGTGAGCAAAACATGTAAGGCCCCTGCTAGTGTGGACTTACACTCTGGCATTGGGGAATCAGAAGAAAAAAATCAGGGTATGGAAAAATAATAAAGCCGGGCAAAGGGAGAGAATGCAAATTATTAGATAACATAGCACTGAAAACATTCTCATTTTTGGATAGAACTTATGTTTGTGTTCTAGAAGGAACTGTGAACAAACTGAAGAGTTGTGTGCTAATTTATGTCTTAGGTGATAGCAGTGAAGGGTGGTGAATGGGTGTGTGGTTCATGAGGCTTATGCAAGGCTGGTTCTAGACGAAAGTACTTGATTATACTCACATATTTTTATCATGTATCCGTCTATAATGCGGTTCTCTTTTACCCTTACATTAATAGAAACAAACACATTTTAAAACAAGATAAAATAAGGCACAGGAGATAAAGTGCAGATGGTAACAGTTGGGCCCATTTAAATCAGCCCCCCCAGCAAGCACTGAGTTCTTCAAATTGCTACCACGTCACATCACAAAACCCCAAGTCCTTTTGAAAATCAGCTGGCAAAAACTAGATGTCATTACAGAGCAACACGAACAGTGTACTGACATGTGGCTTTGTGAAAAATGAAGTCAGGTGGGCATGACTGGTGGATTTGGCCTTATGTGAGCATAAATAAATATCATTTTAAAGCCATTCTTGGGGGTCTGGGGGGGCACCAGTCTTCCCCAAATGCCACAACCAGTTCTGTGACACACTTCGCATTTCCATACATCTTACCCTAATCTAATTTGTCCGACTTCCTTTGATTTTCATGATCTGAGAGATTGCGTCGCCTTAAGTTTCAAATTCCTGAAGGTGGTGCGGACAGGACAGTCTTCTTTCAAGGAGGCTGGCTCTGCAGACCTGCTTTATTTCCCTCTGTATTTTGGAGTCGCCAGCCAGGCGCAGGGGCCTTAAACTCAGCACCTCTCTGTGTTGCTCACCCTCTCGCAGGTGAGGCCTGCTGGTGGACCATCCACCCCGCCTCCAAGCAGCGGTCGGAAGGGGAGAAGGTGCGCGTTGGTGACGACCTCATCCTAGTGAGCGTGTCCTCTGAAAGGTACTTGGTAAGTGCGGGAAGGGGCGCGGACTTGGTGAGAAGACAGATGACAGGCCGGTGACACTCCCTCTTTCAAGTTTAGGTTGCAGATTATCCAGGAATGTTGCATGGAAACAAGCGTGTGTCTCCATTTGATGAGATAGAGCGACTCCCCACGTAGGGCGGGCAGGTGGCGCGTGGAAGTGCCGCTCACCTGGCCCATTTAAACTGGCGTCCGGCGCGCCCTCGACGGCGTGCTCCCTGCTGCCTGACAGGGCTGGTGCCTGCTCGCAGCCGTGTCCTTGAAGCGCTCCACGCAGGCTCGCCGGGAACCGGGAATTCGCGGACCCCGTTCTGCAGCCGGTGTGTGGGCTGTGTTAGTGAGGCTGTGATTGCTGATTGGGGACAGTGGCGAAAGCCGTCTTACGTGAGAAACACTTGCCATGTTAAGAAAGGAGAAATAGACAACGTCTTAAAAAGTGGAAGTCAGCCATTGACATTGCTTTGTTTCAAAGGGTAGGGGCTGGAAATGGGAGAGTGAAGAAAGTTTATGTTTAATCATTGGAAGTACCTTTAATTTTGTGGTGAAGCCAGTGTATACTTAATTAAACCTATTTAGTGAATTGTGGTTTTGCTAAAGAAGAATCGTGTGCAGCAGTTTGCAGATTGAAATCAGTGGAAGGGTGAAAGATGCCAGCATAACACGTTCCTATTATTTATAAACTACTTATTTTCCATCGGCCTTACTTCCGTGTTGTTTAAGAGTTTGTGGGTGAACAGCTCAGTGGTTGGTGCAGTGCATCTGGCGGCCCGAGCCGTGGGGCGCAGGCGGCCTTCAGTGGGGGCTGCGACCCGAGGCCCCTCTGCCTTCAGACTACTCTGCCACCGCGGGCCGAGCAGCAGTGAACTAACAGTGTTATTTTTATTTTAAGGTTGAAAAGTAAGTGAACACATAAAAAAAAGTGTGTAAAATTTCCATGACATCACAGCGGGTGGTGAGCGAGACATGTCAGAAACAGCGCGTGGTGCTGTTGCGCCGGGTGGGCTCGTCCACCGTGTCCCCTGCCACCCCTCAGAACCCCGCACACTCACAACCCCCCTCCCCCCGGCTCGGGTGAGCCCGGCCTGGGCGGGACCTGCTGGGACCCTCGGCTTCTCATCTGCGTGGGGGTCCTCACGGGCCTAGCTCCCAGGGAGGTAAAGAGGATTAAATGCTTTAGACCAAAGAAGACGCTTAGCTCCGTGAACAGCGCAAGTATTAATAATTGCTTAGTGAGTTGTGGTTATTATTTACATGGGAGATTTATGCCCGTTAAGAATGTTTGAGGAAACTGCAGACATTCAGGCAAAAGAAAACAGAGTCGGGAAGGAAGGAGCGAAGAGCCCCGGAACTGATTTTAAATGAAGGTCTGCGGGTGAAAGCGAGGTTCGTGCTCTGAGAAGGTGCTGATGTGGTTAAAAATAAGTAAATTAGTTTAAACTGAGTACTAAAAGCAAACATTTTCAGCCTTTGATTTTTTAACTTTTCGGTTGTTAGTTTGTCTTGAATTTTGATCTAGTTTTCCTTCACTGACAGTGATGGTCCAACGATCTAAGTGCGATCTTGCTGCTCTCAGGGAACCAGGCTGTCGGGTGCCGCGCAGACTGGACTTTTGGGAGGGCCTGGCAAGGGGCCCTGCCCGGGGGCGGCGCTGGGCCTAGGGGAGGGGGGCTGGGCGGGCCGGGCCCAGGCAGCGCCTCTGCTCCTGCGCCCTCTGCTGCGTCTGCACTCAGACTGGGCACCCAGTTACCCAGGAGGAGAGAGCCTTCTCACCAGAGGTGGGTGCAAACCACTCACCCAAGTCATGTCTTTTCTCATCTTACCGTTTCATATTCTAATATGAAATGAGGCCTTTATTCTCTTTTCAGCAGTATCCAAGAGGAAAAATAATTCCTTTGGAGCCATTTGCTGTTGCTTTAACGGCTTTCTGTAAACAAGGAGGCAGTGTATGTGGTGCACATATTTCTTTGAATTAGTGTTTTTGTTTTCTTTGGATAAATACCCACAAGTAGAATTGCTGGATCCTACAGCAGCTCTGTTTTTAAATTTTTGAGGTAACTCCATACTGTTTTCCCACCAACAGTGCACTGGGGTTCCCTTTTCTCCACACCCTTGCCAACACTTGTGTTGATTTATTGATAATAGCAGTTTTGAAAGATGTGAGGTGATATCCTATTATGGTTTTGATTTGCATTTCCCTGATGATGAGTGATGTTGAACATTTTTTCATGTAACTCGTTGGCCATTTGTATATCTTCTTTGAAAAATGTGTATTTAGGTGGTTTTTTAATCAATTTTTAATTGGATTATCATCATCATTTTTATTATTACTATTTTTACTATTGAGTTGTATGGAGTGCTTTAATGTTTTTGAATACAAGTCCCTTATGGAATGTATGATTTGCAAATATCTTCTCCCGTTCAGTTGGTTGGCTTTTCATTTTGTTGACGGTTCCCTTTGCTGTTCAAAAGCTTTTTAGTTTGATGTAATCCCATTTATTTATTTTTGCTTTTGTTGCCCGTGCCTGCATTTTGAATATTTAATACTACAGGCCTAATGACCTTGGTCTGACTCAGAGTTCCCTTTGCTGTTTAAGCGTAAATAGAAGCATTTCAAATCGCTATGCCTCTTGAGAATGTTCTCTTGAGAAGAGTCAACATTGTTTAGAATTTTTATGGTGTAATACGTTCTTAAGGACACTTTCGGACTTTCTCCCACAGTCTGAAATATTCACGATTTTACGGTTCTCTCACATTTATCATTTTTTCTCTGTCTACAGTGTAGGGCCCTCGATCTGCCACCACCTTGTTGGCAGGCCGTCTCTCTCACCTTCTGTCAGCACCTGCCATAAGCCCACGGCCACTCTCCGCTGCCCTGTTGTCCCTGTATCTCTGCTCTTTGGGTTCACCTTCTCTTTGTCACACTGGTCCCCTTGTCTGAGCCTCTCAGAGGGCCAGCGAGGCCCCGGCCACTGCCAATGACAAGGTTTCTGGTGAACTGAAAATGCAAATCTGCAAAGTGGTTTACAACAATTTTGATATGTTTTAAATATTTACACTTAGCAAGTTAACATTATTACTACACACACCCAAATCCGACCTATGTATGGATATATTTGGAGACAACATATCTAAGTACGTCAATGTGCGGCCCGGGTCGGTGCCCCCAGCCCCCCGGGCCTCAGCCCCGTGAACTCCCATCTCACCTGTGGAAATGCTGCCTGCCCTCCACCCCCAGCGCGGGGCCGCTCCCAGTTAGGCTGGCTAAAGTGGTTTTTTTTTTTTTGCAATTCCTGTAGAACTTGGATTACAATTCACATGCTGTTCTTTAGTACTGGCTTGTAGCATTTTGTGCATATTGCTTTCCCTTCTAGATTCCAAGCACCCCTGGGGCGGGGAGGGTGTTCTATTGATATTTAGCCCAATGCTGTGTACATACTGTGTTCAATGAACCATGACAAATGAACAAATTATCATTTATTGATTTATTTATCATAATATGGCATGAGCTTCCACTTGATTTCAAAACTAAAGATTTAGGTGTTGATGTTTTGGACCACCTGCTCATGGTCTGGTGAGAGCCATACGGTTTTATAGAAAGTTTTCTTTCTGTGTGTGTCTGTGTGTGTGTGTGTCTGTGTGTGTGCATGCATGAGCACAGTTATTTTGGCTCAGGTCATTAAAATAGGTATATTTGTGGAACAACGTAAAATATTTCTTTAGGTTTATGCTACTTCAACTTTAAAGGCTTTGGTTTCTTTACATCCTTGTTTGTTGAATAACATCGTTAGACTGCGAGCCTGTATCAGGCAGCTCACAGGATTGAGAGAGAAAAATTACATTATGTGATGATAGCTTCTTGTTTGTGGAAGCAGAAGCATAGGATCTATTTGTAAGTAAAGAATTTGAACAATCATGGAGTCTCAGCTGGGCTTGTACAGGGCAGACTGAGGTGGCAAAAAGGCAGGTAGCTGCTGAGAGGAGCGGGTCGGTCAAAGCAGGTTATCGCTAAGTCTGCTCAATCAGCAGGTAAACTTTAGTCATATTGATTGGAAAAATTATTGGTAAGATAACAGCATGGATATCAAAAAATTTTTTGGTTTTTTTTTTTTTTTGAAGAAAAAGATTGTACAACACCTGTTTTGCTGGTGACTTGAGAATAGCACCTTTAGGTGGAAGAGGCCCCTGGGGTATCGCGAGGCCCGCGGAGTTCATGGTTCCGCAGCACCAGGCTGCGATGCTCTGCATCCACTGGGGGTCCGGTTTCTGGAAAAGTTCAGGGATAGTCAAGTCTTTGAAAGCTTCGGCTGTGATCAGCATTGGAAAACGCCACAGATACATGGCAGGAATATTGGGGGTGTTCTCTGAGTGGACCCCAAGAGCCCAGGTTGTTCCATGTTTGTCCGAACTTCTAGAGGCAGCCTGGGGGAGATCAGTAAAATAATTGAGGCATTTGGCTGCAAAGTTCTAGAGTGGTTACATAATTTTGTTGTTCTTTATTTATCATTTGAGCACTCATATATTATGGCTCTCAAAGATATTAAAAGCGCTGTTTTAATACATTTTCATTTTTAAGGAGGAAAATCTGAAATTTGTAATGTATCAATTTTGGTGAAATGGTCAGGTTTTAGGTACCTATTAGGAAACATCGCCATCTAATGGCTATTGTGTCAAATTGCAGATAAAGTTCTTAGAGGGCCCGGTAAAACTAGGACATGGGTCCTGTAGATTTCCCCTACTTCACCGTCAAAAGAAAGCACAGTGTGATACGTAGAAAAACTTATAATTTCAATGGTAAGTACGCACTAGCTGTACGGCTTTTCCCATCAGTAAGCCTTAAAACCAAATAGTCTCTTTTAATGAATAGATTTATTTTAGTTTATTCATTTGTGTGTTTTCTAATCAGTGGCTTAAGTTACAACTCCTAGAATGAAGGTAGAAAACACCCAAAGTCAAAAAGAAACTCCAGCTGTTTTCTGCTGGTCCCTTCGTTTCTGGGCGGCGGTCGGTCGGGGCTCGCAGCTCCGGGCGCCTGCCCCGGTTGGAGGGGGCGGAGGCGCGCGGACAGCGCCCGGGGCCGCAGTGACGTCTCGCTTGCTTCCTCCCGCGCAGCACTTGTCCTACGGCGGCGGCAGCTTCCACGTGGACGCGGCCTTCCAGCAGACTCTCTGGAGCGTGGCCCCGATCAGCTCGGGAAGTGAGGCGGCCCAAGGTAAGGCCTCCGCGCCGCTCGGCGGGTCTGTCCCGACGCAGGGCTGAGGGTCCTGCCCGGAGTGCGGCAGTGAGCCGCTGGGAGGGAGAGCTTTCCCAACGTGGGTGCTGACATTTCCGACTCCCGTGCCAACTGCTATTTAAAAGGGAAGTTTCTGTTAAGACTCACCTTTCCTTATTTTTATGCTACTGTTAGCTTTATTGGGGTGTGTTTTGTATGTAGCTTTCCAGGGGTTACCCCTTCCAAAGTTTTGGCCCAGGGCGGTGCCAGGGAGGCTCCAGTCAGAATGTCCCGCGCAGCCGGCTACCGCGCAGCTGGAGGAAGGGGGCGCTCCTGCTGCCCTTTGCAGGGCTGGAGGGATGGGGGCGCTCCCGCTGCCCTTTGCAGGGCTGGAGGGAAGGGGGCGCTCCCGCTGCCCTTTGCAGGGCTGGAGGGATGGGGGCGCTCCCGCTGCCCTTTGCAGGGCTGGAGGGAAGGGGGCGCTCCCGCTGCCCTTTGCAGGGCTGGAGGGATGGGGGCGCTCCCGCTGCCCTTTGCAGGGCTGGAGGGATGGGGGCGCTCCCGCTGCCCTTTGCACGGCTGGAGGGAAGGGGGCGCTCCCGCTGCCCTTTGCACGGCTGGAGGGAAGGGGGCGCTCCCGCTGCCCTTTGCACGGCTGGAGGGAAGGGGGCGCTCCCGCTGCCCTTTGCACGGCTGGAGGGAAGGGGGCGCTCCTGCTGCCCTTTGCACGGCTGGAGGGACCTGGAGACCATTAGGCTCAGTGAAATAAGCCAGTTGGCGAAAGACAAATACTGTGTGATCTCACCTGTAACTGAAATCTAATGAACAAAATAAACTAATGAGAGAAAGAGCACCAGAGACATGGAAACAGGGAACAGACTGACAACTGTCGGGGGGGGGGGGGCGGGGGGAGGAAATGGTGGAAGGAAACGTAACGGATTGGTCCGATTAATGAAAGCACGCGTCTGAATGACTCAGGGCCAGGGACCAGGGAGAGGGAGCTGCCTGGGTGAGAGGGGCGGGTTGGGGGGAGGGGGGAAAGGAAATTGGGACAATGGTAATAGAGCAAACAATACACTACATTAATTAATTAAATAAAAGTGTATATTGAAGATTTAAAAAAAAGACTTCCCGCCTTCCAGGTGGCTCGGAGCTGGGTCGCAGCAGTGCCCCTGCATCAGCGTTTGTTCCGATTACGGTCACCTGTGCCGGCTGGGCTCTGCGCCTTGCCGAGGGAGTAGGTTCAGGGGGTCGAGGTGGTCTTTCCAGGGGGAATGTCACTGACTGGGGCTCTGGGACTCGGGGCCAAGAGGCCGCAGGCAGGCGCCCCCATCACGCCTGAGCTTGGGCCAGGACCTGAAGCCTCGCTGACGCCTGTCTCTCTGTCCGTGAAAACGGAGGGTGGGGCTTGGCGATGGCTCCGGCCACCATGACAGTTCACGTGTGACTGCGTTTCAACCCTCACAGGCTATCTGATCGGTGGGGACGTCCTCAGGCTGCTGCACGGACACATGGACGAGTGCCTCACTGTCCCCTCGGGAGAGCACGGGGAAGAGCAGCGGAGGTGGGTGGTGAGCCCGGCACCGCCGGGCCTCGCCGTTCCTCGCCTTGGTACCATTTCTAAACCACGGGTTTGTCTGTTCAGGCCATTAGCATGATAGGAAGTGGCCCACTAATGTCATCTGTCCCCTGCAGTGACTCATCTGTTGGCCAGCTTAGAACTTCTTTCTCACGTTAAATTTTTTATTATCTATCAGTAGAGTTGCTGAAAAAAGTTAAAACATGCTAAGAAGCATGGAATTCAATAAACCAAGCTGGAGAAGTGAACACGTTAAACAAAATACTTAAAGCTTCAGTAGATGTTCATTAGTTCTGATTAATTCTCTTTCTAGAACATTTAGCCTTGTGTTCAGATTCAAGATCCAAGTTCTCAAATTGTACGGAAGTTTAGGACCTTTTTCTCTTACCTCCACCTTACTGCCAAAGGTAATAGAATTGACCACTTTCCTAATATTTTACATGATTATAGCACCTCTCTCATGTTAGTATTTGGCATTAGGCCAAGATCAATGTAGTCTGGGTCATTGGGGAAAGTGCACAATTAATGCAAAAGCAGGTAAGTGTTTCGGATGATTTGAATGCTCTGCTTTGCCTCGTGAACTTGTGGATGAACATGGTGATTTAACACGTACATAAGAGGTCGCTGTGACAAGGCACTGTGTGGACGATGCATTGCATGTGTTTAAGTTTTGGGGATGTTTCTCAAAGCGTTAACGTACACGTTTAGGTAACTACTGTTTCATACATATTTCTTTTTGTAATTTAAAGAAACATACAGGGACCATTTAGGAAGCCAGTAGTCGTTACCTGGCTGCTCACCTGGGAAAGGTCTCTGTGGTCTGGACGCTTGTCTCACCTTTGCCCCTACATGGGCAAGGCTTCCAGTGAAGCGTGAAACGCAGAGTCTGGAAGATTCTCTGAACTGAAAATGCTGCTTTTAGCAGGTTAGGAAGCCAGTGCCGATGGTGTTGACAATTCAGAAGGCAGATGGTTTGAGAAACTGATTCCAGACGGAAGAATGAGCCAAAGACGCAAAGAAAGGGGTGGCCAAGTTCTGGGAACCACCGTGGTTCTCACGTAATGAGGGGAGGACTGGCCGGAGGCAGGAGCCAGGCAGGGAACAGCCCTGCCCCCCCACCCCCCCACTCCGCAATCTGCCCTGCCCCCGGGCGGTCAGACCCTGTTTAAAAGCGCAGCCCTCGGGGCGCGAGGGGCTCCTGGCAGAGGTGGGAAGGCTCTGAATCAGGGAGACCGATGGGAGGGGGCCAGTGCTGTCATCCACGTGAGCGGCCCGGGAGCAGAGGAGCCTGGAGCGGGACGGTGGACAGCCAGGTGCGGGGATGCGCGAAGTGCGGGCTGCGGGAGACACGCCAGGTCCAGTGCAGCCGATGACACAGTGAAGAGGCGGGCGGGGTGGGGACGAAGGGCGCTGTGGCCGGTGGCGAGCGCAGAGGGTCTGTGGGGCGTCGCGCAGGAACGTTTGAGCCTTGGACTGAGACAAAGCGGGGCCTGGGCCTTGATCTCAGGTGCACTGGGAGCGTGGGGGATGGGAGGGAGGAGCTGAGTTTGGGAGGTGAGCGTGTCAATCTGGTGCTACTTTAAAAAGCCTGCAAAGCCTCGGGTGGTCCAAGCGGAGGGGGGATGGTGAAGGAAGGGTCTTGGACGATGCTGATGGCAGGACGTGGGAGGCAAGAAGTCAGCAGGGCTCCGAGTGACGGGCGGTGGTCGGCGGAGGCAGAGGCGGGCGTCGGTGCCGGACAGGCCGTGGTGGTGCGCGCAGACAGGGCAGCGCGGCCGCGCCGCGGCCCGGGGCCTGCTCAGGGAGGCCGTGGACCGCATGGTCCTGACCTGCTCTTGTTCTGCAGACACGTGGAGGCTTCTAGTGAAGTCCACGGCTACTTGTGCAACGTGTGCGGGTGACTTAACTTACGTCGGCACCCTTTTCTTCTCTGTAAAGAGCAGACAGATACACAGCAGCCACTGCTTCACATGGGTGTTGTGAACATTCAGTGAGACCGTGCCTGCAACGTGCTTGATGCTTATGACAAGGCCAACACATTTTTTTATTGTTGATGTTACTATTTAGACATAAGAGCAGCCTTTAGTGAGATGTGGGAAAATTGCAGGGGCCCCGGGCATGCGGGTGGCCACCTCGGAGAGCAGAGTCGGAGGGAGAGGCGCTGGCTACGTGCAAGCAGACCTCGGGTCCTTTTGTGCCAAGCCAGGGCTCCCTTCATTCATGCTCCGGGGCTGGGGCCAGGGACGGATGAGCAGTTTTGTTTTAATAGTTGGATGTTTTTATTTTCAAATCAGGATATTCGGTATCAGATCCCAGACTCCTCGCCTGAGCTTGCTGGCAGGGACCGCAGCGGTCCCCCTGTCCGGGGCTCCGAGCGTCCGTGTGTCACCAGGCATGTCCCTGAACCGGCCTTGTCCCGCGCGCACTCCCCCCTGCCCTGCAGACAGCTGGCTGTGACTGCAGAGAAAACCAGGGGGATTTCAGACATTTAATATTGTCCTGGACCGACTTTCCCATCACATCCACGTTGAAGCCTGTCTCCCCAATATTGTTCTTGATTCGATGTTGATAATTTCTGTGTCACATTGAGGTCGATGTGTCACAGCTCATCCCGGGTGGTGGCATCAGTAAGAACCCCTCCCTGTGCCCCTTTGTACAGCATGTTTGCACGGGTGAAATTAGACCAGCATGGCCCTCAGATCATGCCTGGAGGCGGAGATGTCAGAAGTGGGCAGCAGGCGCCCACGGATGTTCTTCAGAAAGTGGAGTTGTACTTGTCTTGATTACATGGTGAGATCGAGCCATTATTTGCATATAATGATAAAAATAACTCCTTTATTTTTACATTTATAGAACACTTTATTATTTCAAATCTTGTCACTGTCATCGCGTGGAGATGTCTCTGGCTCCCTCTGGCCTCACCCCAATGTACCGGTGGCCCTTGAACTGGCGGGAGAGGGACAGTGCCGCCCGATAAGTTATAGGAGCCTGTCAGTGGGGACATGAAGCCAAACTAAAACATGTGTTCTATTTATTTTAAAAAAGAACAAACAATTTGACTTTGGACAGTGTTTTGTGAGCTGGACCAGTTCCACGGAAATGTGTAAAATTTCTTTTTCCTCATCGCTCCTTGCTGTGATGTGATCTGACTCTCCTTGCGAATGTGCCCTGTTGTTGAAGTGAAATACTGAAGTCGAATCAGGTTTGCTGTAAGCAGTGGTGGACTGGTTAAGGAGACAGCCAGAGTGACACCTGAGTCCTTTAGGGACACGTTGCCATGACTGCTGTGTTCCTAAATGGTCCGTCAAGCTGCCCGGGCCCCATTCCACTGACAGTTATTGAAGATACACAGTTATAATTGTGGCAATTGAAGCTGCACTTCGACGGCAGGTTCCGTACCGGCAGATGTCTCCAACTTCCTCTTCACGTTGGGTCTGTGTGTACGTGATTCCCTTTGCTTTGTCATGAGACCAGTAAACACTGTTACAATGAAGAGCATATATGTCATTTAATTAAATGGCATTAGATTGGAAAGTGACACCTACAAAATAGCATTTTTCCCTACGCTCCCTGCTCACGTTCCTTTCATGGGTTAAGTTCTGACATGCTCCTGAAATACAGCACTGGTTTTGTTTTAAGTTTCTTGAGGTTTCCCCAGGGAGACCTATGGCTGTAACATTACTGGTGCACAATTGTCCAGACAACAGCAAAAGCAGTGCAGACGTGACCTGCAGAAGCGAGCAGTGAGGCGGAAGGGAGAGACGCGACGGGTGCTGGCTGTCGAATTGCAGGTTTTCAGTCCTTCCCTCCTCGGGCAGTGAGAGCGGGCAGGTTAGGGAGACGCGGGTTCTGGGGTCTGCCAGGGGCCACGCAGTGCGTTCATTATTGCTTCAGAAATAACCCGACAAACTGTTGGCTGCCAGAGGGGAAGGGGCGGAAAAGGGGGAGGAAGTAAGAAGCACAAATTGATGGTTACAGAATAGTCGCAGGGATGTAAAGTACAGCAAAGAAAGACAGTCAATAATATTGTAATAGCTATGGACAGTGCCAGGTGGGTACTTGAATAATCAGGGAGATCACTTCTTAAATGATATTGCTGTTAATCACTATGCTATACACCTGACACTAATATAGCATTGTATGTCGGCTGTAATTGAAAAAGAAAAAAGATAAATAAGCTTTCATCCAGGAGACTTGGGATTCGATTATCAGTTTTTACATCAAGGGTGAAATATTTTACATGGGAATCTATTCTGTTCTACATTCTGTCTCTGGATTGTGTCTTATTATTTCCGTCCATTGTTATGTGACTAATGAAATGTGCACACATGCTCAGGGATTAAACATGCACCCTCCGAATTAAGGATGCCATACTTTTAATAAATTTTAAAATGAATAAATTAGGGGAATATTATTCAGAGTTGCTATTCAAGACCTGTGATTCGGAAACCAGTATTAGGGGAACATTTTTTGAGATGCATTATTTGTGTTAAAACAGATTTTGCCATATAGCTCATAAGTAGTTTTGTTCATTCAGTAAAAAATGGCGACACGACTAGCTTGTTCTGGGTTCAGGGGTTATAGTAGCACATACAAAGATGATTCCCCTCCTCGAGGAGTTTACATTCTAGAGGAGACAGGCGACAACACAAACACAAATGTGCTTGTTCATAAATGCACACAGGTGATACGGACAAGATGCAGTGGGTGCTGGTAAGAGCTACAGAGAAAAGTGACGAGAGGAGGAAATGGAGAGTGTTCACGTCTGCAGGTGTGTTTGAGAGAGGGCGAGCGGTGGGGGGTGGGGGGACAGAAGTGGGGGCTGGTTCCCCTCCGCAGCTCTCCAGGCATTACGCTAGGCACGGACTTGCTCTGTTTGTAACTTTCAAACGCAGGGCAGTTAAGGCACAGTTTCCGGCAAAGTCTGGGAATAAATGCTACAATTGCTTTCGAGAATGTGACTCAGCAGGCAGGAGCCCTGCCAC